CCAGGCTGAGATTAAAAAAAAAGAAATGCCTTTATCTGACCCTCCTGAGGTATTGCCAGCTAGGCCCACCTTTTGTCTGAATGTATTTTATCTTGGAGTTTCTTGCACTATGCAGACATATGCAAGTTTCAAACTTACACCCTTATGAACGGAGAATTATATTTATAAATTCTTAGAGGACATTTTTTTTCTTTCCCTTATTCAGAATTCATAGCAAAGTAGATTTCCGCCCCCCACCTTTATGTCTGAGGTGCCTGCCATTAAAAAAATCCTAGTCTGTTTTATCCCAGAAAGATGAAGCATTTTTAGCATCCCAGGCTTCTATGGGAATATTAGTATTTGCCCATCCTTTTCTCCTAACCATATGTGAGTGTTAAAGCCCTAATTCTCAGTTATTGGAATTTCAGTTACCTCCAAAGTAGCTGAAATGTCAGTGTCTACTCATGTCTGATTTCAAATTCTCCTTCACTTTTGGTCCTTTGGTATTTCTCTTATATTCTTTAGAGACCTGTTATGCATTAAAATCTTGCTTATTATTTTTCATCAAATTTTTTTCTAGGTGTTGTTATTGGTAGAACTTATATGATATATTGTCTTCCCAATTCCCAGGAACATAAATCCTGAATATTTGCAATCCTGCCAAGCTTGGCGATCTATTTTATACATGCATATCAACTTGGAAGCAGAAATGCAATAAGAGAGTTTTCTGTGAGCAAACACATGTCTGAGACATAACATAGAAATAGAGAAGACAGGAGACATAGATGCAGACCAAAATAGGACACGTCACAGCCCAACAGCAGTTTGTTGCTGTTGATCAGTCACCAAGTTGTGTCTGATTCTTTGTGACCCCTTAGACATGTAGCCCACCAGGTTCCTCTGTCTATGGGATTTGCCACACAAAAATACTGGTGTGGGTTGCCTTTCCTTCTTCAGGGGATCTTCCTGACCCAGCGAATGAGCCTATGTCTCCTATATTGGCAAGCGTATTCTTTATCACTGAGCCAGCAGGGAAGCCTGACAACAGTTAGTGCCGGACAATCATCTCTACATATTTCAGTAAGCCTGAGGGTCATCTAGGTCCCACAGCTAAACTGTAACTTGTGCTAATGATGTTGACATCAAGGAAATTAAACATACTTTTTTTTCACTGTCAATTGTTTTTTTCACTATTGTCAATATGTGACAATAGTAACATATGTAAAGTATTTTTAAAACCATTTTTCCTGAAATAATTTTCAATATTTTGTTACTTTAAAGAGTAGATCATAATAAGATAAAAGTGAACATCATTTTCAATTATTGAGCTTCTACTAGGTGTCTGGTACTGGGCTCTTTTTTTAACCTAATTTTTAACACATTATTTTAATTCCCACAATAAACCTGCAAGATAGCTATTATAAAGCCTTGCTTTGTAATAAGTGCATTAAAGTTACAGTTAGTAAGTGGCCAAGACAGAACTACAGCTCCTCTGCTCTTTCTGTTTTCTATTCCTAGTCTTTCTCATCCAGGAAAACCTCTTACCCTATGGACACATTCTAAGAATGTCCCTGTTGGCCGAGACATTATCTGTCACGCTTCCTTGCCCCGAGGATCCCCTGACATTTCAGGAAGGGGAAACCTGGACTCAGTGCTTCCCAGACCTGTGTTTGTGCCTGCTCTCTAGCAGGTCCCCCGGATGGTCAGAGCCTCTACCAGGGAGCCTTTGATGGAAGTATTTTGCACACATGCCAAATGTGTGGCATTGAAACCAGTGGGGAGGTGATGAAGGGGACCTGAGTCGTGAGTCAAAACTGACAAAGCCAGCAACAAACAGGAGAGACAAGTTTTCCAAGATGATAATTGTGTCTGGACAGTTGACAGAGAACAAATGCTCCCTTGATCCCGGTGGGAATGATCATTTGAAAAAGAAGGCTGGGGAACATTAGATAATTATTTAGTCCTTCTACATATTTATGAGTTCCAGTGTGCTACATACGTTTTAAAAGACAGTTGACAGCTGCAGCATATATCATCTTGTTCCCTCTGCAAGCTAAAAATAGTTTGCTTTTTTCATGTGAAAGCAATACTTTCAGTTTTGGGGTCCATGAAGTAAGAGACTATAAAAATGCTAGTTTACAGGCATGACAGCAAAGAATGTTTGAAGAAATTCTGCTTGTAAACTTTCAGATGAGTCACCCGGTATGTCTGTTCTGCCTGGAAGAGAGACTGCCGAGGGCACCTGTGAATAGGAGACAGGACAGGGGATTAAGTCCCGAGGGCCTGAGGTTGAGGCTGCCATTCTCTATCCATGGGGCCCTGGAAGTTTAAGAAAACAGCCTGGCCATTCCCTGGAGGAGTAAACTTAGATGCTCTTCAGAAATGAGAACCAGGCTTGGGATCAAAAAGGCACAGTATTGGTAAGAACAGGAGAAAATGAGCAGACAGAATACAGAGGCCAAGAAGCACCATTTTGACCATTGTTTCCAGTCAGGCTCGTGTTTTCAATGCAGGCGTGTAGGAGAGCCTGGCTGCTTTAATGGGACAGTTGGGCACCTCCAACTATTCTCTGTGTCTTCCTGGGGTAGAAGGCTTTCATGGAAGCCATCAGAGCCCCATGCAGCTCCGCTTCGCCAGCAGGTACCCCCATGCCATAATTACTGAGAGCACCGGCTATTAGAATCCCGTAGCCACTCCTTTCTCTAAAGAATTACTTTTGCTCTAAGAGGAGCTACCTTATTTTATGGGACACTTCCTCCTTGAGTCAGAACTTGATCAACGATTGATCAACTGACATAGGGTGCAAACTGCCAGCCCCTTTGCTTCCATTCGAGAACTGACTGCAATGCAGGTCATGCTCCAGAGGTCGCCGCGGGGTCAGGCTGAAGTGCCTCTTCTGTGAAGACTGCATTCTTCCCTGCTGCCTTTCCTTCCTCACATATTTCACCTAAGTCCACCCTCTCCATAAATTTTTTGATGAGATTCTTTGAGCCAGGCCTTTCTTGGGAAACCCCCTAAGCCAGAAGGATAAGGGGAGCTAGTTGTTCTGTTAGTCAAACAGGGAAACTGAATCTCTAACACAGAGTGGCACCTCTCACACCATACTGTACAAAGTGCAATCAATTCCTTTGATTTTTTTTGCACAGGAATGGTTGGGTGACCCAGAATACAGCAGGAGCTTAGTAAACTGAGCCACTCTCCATGTATGAAATGCCCTTCTCCTCCTGAACACTCTATTCAAACCTCAGGATTCAGTTCTCGTGTCACTGTCTTGGCAGATGCTTCCTGCTAGTCCTGACTCCCTCCTGAGCTGGCGCTGACCCTGATTCTTGACTTAGGCCTCCGTGGTGGCTCATGTTGCTCTCTGTTATTGACATACCACGTGTGCCATGAGTTGAGCTCTAACATTTGTTGAGTGCCCCTTAAATGCCCTAGCTTGCTTCAGTCAGAGGCAATGTTCTATTCCTGAGGTCCTGCTTCTGAGGGTGACCATTATTTGTACTTCCTCCCCACTGGTGAGGGAACCAAACTCCCTATCCACACCTATTTCACAGTCTCATGGTAACAGGAAGGTGGCGTCTCCAAAGGTGTGACTCACAGGTGGGGCTGGAGACAGAAGGACCCTGGCATCATCCTGGGGATCAGTGTCTCCTCTATCTAGACAGAACAGGAAGGTGGCCTATCTTCATGAACATTAGGTGTCTTTGCTGAGTAATATACTGAGTCACACCAACAAGCCATACATACAAGCAAGGATGTTATCCCATCATGGAGCTGACTATAAAAGTGCCAGAGTGCCAGGTTGTCTTGGTAACACATCATGGAGAAGCTTCCAAGCCTGAAAAGGCCTGAGCTGGGGGGATGTATGCTGCAGCTGGGCTAGATGAGTGGACTACTGAAAGAAAGCCAGCTTCTGTAGATTCCAGGGCAGGGAGCTCTGGAACCAAATGTACAATACCTGGCACCTTTGTGCCCAGAGAGAGTCTACACAGATTGAAAGACACTTACTTGAAAAGCATGTGCAGGGATGTGTACACATTCAAGAGTAGGGAACCATGCCTGCAAGTCCAAGCTAAGACCTTGGGGCTATTCAGTGTAGCCCCTAGGGGAGGGGACACTATGAAGCTGGCTTGAGGGAGCTTACTTGACCCACAGTCTGGAGGCCCTGACGCTGTAGCTGCTCCTTCTTCTTGCACCTAGACCTGGATTCTCAAGCTAGGCAGCCCTCATCCCAAGGTAGCTCAAGAGTTTTAGGTTAAAAAAAAAAAAGAGTTTTAGGTGCACACGTGGTATTCTTGCCTAGAGAATCCCATGGACAAAGGAACCTGGCAGGCTACAGTCCATTGGGTCACAGAAAGTCAGACATGACTAAGCAACTAATACTTTTCCACCAGAGTCTAGTGGATGGACTAAAAGTGATGGAGAGGCCCAGTGTCACCCCAGGAACACCTCCTCAGACTAAGTATAGGGCTTGTTAGTGGAAAAGTGCAGACAAGCCTGTAAGAAGCCCAGTCACACACAGAGAGGTCAACCCAAGAGTGAGGAAATGGCCATACTCAGCCTCAGTCAGCTGGCAGTGGTCACAGTCCTCCTGCAACTGGCCAAAACCCAGGGACACGTAGGAAAAGAGCCTGATGAGTGTATGAAAAGGCCTGCAGAGAAAATATCCCTCCTGTGCTCAGGAAACAGTCTGTCCTGGTCGACATGATATGTGTGAGTACTGAGGTCTTCTGTCACCATTCAGGCTGGAAGGGGAGATTGCATTGTGAGCCTAGAGTGGTCTCTTTCAGACCCACAGTGCTTAGTCTGAGCCCCAGGCACATCAGTTCTGCCAGCAGACTAGCAACAAAGGGATTAAAACTCTCAGCCTCCTACTAATAAGACCATTTATTGGTTGTCATATTTTTAAGAAAGTAACATTAGCCTCTTTCCTCATCTGCAGAAAGGGTACAGCGATACTCCTGTCACAGGGTTATGGCGAACACTAAATGAGATCACTTCTGAAAAGTCACTGAGCATTCTGCCGACTACACGGTTAAAACACTGTAACTATCTAGTAAGCATCTATTATTTGTTAAATTCTTCATTAAACTAAATAGTGGTGATACAGAGATGAATAAGACAAAATCTCTTCCTCCCAGTGGCCACACCATAGCTGCAGGTGACCAGATCACAGGCAGATTAGGATGTGTTACATGATATTTAAGCCCCTGCAAGAGAAATCTCAAATATGCCTGGAGCACCGAGGCCCGACTCTGTTTCTCAGCTTTATAAAGTTGGAATTAAACTCAGTCCAAAGCTAGCCCTCCCCTCCTGCAGAGACATGTGGTTTCTTTAGAGCTAAAGCTGGAATGGAATTCAGACTTTCTGACTCCCAGCACAGAGGTATTTTCACTACATCACACTTTTTAAAAATTTTTCCATCAACACTAAAGGCAGTAATTTTGGTTTCAGAGTCTAAATGAAAGCACTGGTGTTGACCTTTTGGGAAGCTACTGTAGACCAAATACTTTTTTCCCAAAGCATCATTTTTCATAACCTTAATTAGAGCTATTTTATAGCAGCCTAATGCCAAAGCACAGATTCCTAATACATTTTTTCCTTTATGACCTAGTAATAAAGTCATCTGATGCTTAGTTAGGTTGACAATCTAGTTGCTTCTCTCAAGAGAGAAAACAATGACATTGCGTCTGAAAAGCTGGCTGTCTGGTTTGAGAAAAGTTGATTTTTCATATCAGGCTGTTGAAAAGCTGAATAGCGAAATAAATATCACAGCTCCCTTTTCTGTTTCCTTTTTTTTGAAAGCTTGGGGGCTGCCAAGTGGAACTGTGCCATGGTATTATCATCCACCACAAATTGCACTTGGAGACAGAAAGGTTATAGACTCAAAGCAAGCCATAGTTGTGGTTGATTCCACTTGGAAAGTTGTGCAGGTCAGTGTTGTTCACCCAAAACAGGAAACCATCTGCTGTATCCTTGACGCCCCCACCTATCCCTAAGAGAGAGAGAGAGAACAAGAGTTCAGGACTAGGAAAGGGGTGGCATTATTATTAAAGCAAGAATAGGGATAATATTTTAAACTGATAAGAACAATTCAGCCGAATGGAAGTTGCCTAACACTTTCACACTCAGGATCATTATTCAAAGGTTATCTGTTACTTATGTTAATTAAGAAAAATAAACACTGCTCCACATTGCCCTATAACGTCAAAGCAAATACACAGTAGGAAGCATAATCCATTTACCTCCCTGCATGTTCTCACTGCTGAACCAAGCCATTCCAAGAAATTGTTTAGCTCAGCTCAGGGCAACTTTATCAATTGCTGATTCTAACCCCTGTGCCAACATTTATTAAGCTTCTATGCTGGGCCAAGAACTGTGAATGTGAGCAAAGAGATAACTTTTCGTTTCTCAGCATCCTGCATCGTAACTAGAAATTTTTACGATAGTTTATATTTATAAAGAGTATTTTTATGTTTATCCATCCATTCAACAAATATTTATTAGGCACCCAAGTTCTAAAAGCTGAAGAATCAATACTGAACCTAAAAGAGACAGTTACTGCTCAATTTCTTAAAAAAAAAAAAACTACTATGTATTTGTATTTATTTACTTGACTGAGCCAGGTCTTAGTTGTGGCATGTAGGATCTTGAGTTGTGATATGTGAACTGTCAGTTGTGGCATATGGGTTCTAGTTCCCTGACCAGGGGTTGAACCCAGGGCCCCTTGCTTTGGAAGCATGGAGTCTTAGCCACTGGACCACTAGGGAAGTCCCATGGCTCAATTTCTAATGCAGGGAGTCTGATGAACAAAAAAAGTTAAGTATGTGGTGTGATAGAAGCCAATCAGTGATCTGAAGAAGAATAAAGTAATTAAAAAAGGATCCAGGGAACTGAGGATGAGCTTGGGAGCATTATTCTGTATGGAGTAATCTTAGGGAGACCTCTTTGTTAAAAGACATCTGAGAAATCGGAAGAAAAAGAAAAGTCATGTGACTATGAGGGAAAAGGTATTGCAGGCAGAGAAAAGAAGTGAATAGGAAATGAGCAGGGAGTATGCTTGACCCAGAGCCCTGGACCAACAAGGAAGTGGGTGCGACCGGAGGAGGGTGCTAGGAGAAAGGCTGGCTGGTGGGGGAGGGTGCAGGGGGAGAGCTGACAAGCAGCCACATCAAACTGGGCCTTGCAGAATCATTCAAATCTTAGCCTTTACTCTGGAAACCGTGGTGTTATTGTCTTCAGTGAAGGAGCGGTTCAGCAGAAGCATGACATGAAGCTAAACTTGAGAAGGAATGTTCTGGGTCCTTTTAAAGAATAAATGGTATGGTAGCAGATAAGCAGAGAGACCAGATTAAAAATAGACAAGACGGCAGTGATCCAGGCAAGAGATGCTGGTGGCTAGGGTAAGAAAAGAGGCTAGATTTTGGATGTATTTTAAAGATGGAGACAAGAGGATTTGTTGATGGATTTTCCATTTGGTTTTGCTTCTGGGTGTGGGTATAGGTATCATAGCTCCCTCACCTCTTGGCCATGATAACTAGACAACTTTCCAATGTGATTAAGTTTCCCTTGCTCACTGATCTTCCCTGGTAGCTCAACTGGTTTAAGAATCCCCCTGCAATGTGGGAGACCTGGGTTTGATCCCTGAGTTGGGAAGATCTCCTGGAGAAAGGAACAGCAACCCACTCCAGTATTCTTGCCTGGAGAATCTCCCCGGACAGAGGAGCCTGGCGGGCTGCAGACCATGGGGTCGCAAAGAGTCGGACACAACTAAGCGACTAAGTGTAGCACAGCTCACTGTATTTGCGCTTTAATAATGTACCTGTTATGGGTTTCCTTTCCCTTCACTTCCCCTTCTCCCAACCAGTGTTACCTTCACATCCTAAGTACATTTTTGTACAAAAGTGGTCTCAGTAATTGTTTCTGGAGGAACCTAAAGCTAAGACAGCAGATACAGTTTAAATGGAGATCAGACCATCTCTGTTGCCCTTTTATATTAATAAAAGTTTTTTGTTTTTTGTTTTTTTTTTTTTTTTGCTGATGATTACAGTGTTGACCTGTTTGGTGGTAGAGAATGAGCAGCTCTAATTTTTAATTTGCTTTTCCTGTCACCCAGGAGATGAATGCAGGTCTTGCCTTTCCTGCACACCTTCAGGAAAAGTCACCGACTCGTGTCCCTTTGTCATCTCATCTCAGCAGCAAGGGCTCAGGTCACTGGGCCTGATGGGGGCACAGAGATTGCTAGCAAGGGGCAGTTATACAAATCTACTTTCCTCTTCATCCAGTGGGGAGCACAGTGGAATAAGCAAGACAACTCTTTCCAGTTTTAATTTGAATTGAATAGCATTTGTGTTTCTGGTCAAGCTCTTGCAGCCATTCTCTGTGAGTCAATAATAGTGTGCTGGGCAAGAGGGGCCCTGATTTTCTGTGGTCCTCTCTTCTCTGTTCAAGGACCCTCTGTGGTCATTACTGATAATCTGATTTCTCATAGATTGATCCAATATCAATATGAAACACCACTGTGTGAGAAACACCCTCATTTAGAAAATGCAGTGAGCAGGTCCCCAAGACATTAATTACTGAAAGAGGTTTTAAGTAGCTCCATCTCTGATGGTTAGAGTTAATCAGGCATATGCCTGAGAAATAAATTTCTGAGGGAGGGAATTCATGTTTCTAAAACACCAACCCTAAATCATGTGAAGCTTCAGGTTCTTTCATATCTATTACATTACTGAAGCCAAGTTGCTTCATAGTGTCCGACCCTTTGTGACCCTGTGGACTGTAGCCTGCCAGGCTCCTCTGTCTATGGGATTCTCCAGGCAAGAATACTGGAGTGGATTGACATTTCCTCCTCCAGGGGTTCTTCCCAATGAAGGGATCAAACCTGAATCTCCCGCATTGCAAGCAGATTCTTTACTATCTGAGCCACCAGGGAAACTCCGTTATATTACACAATTGCCCTTAAATTTTACAGATGAACAAAGTGGATCTAAAAGAGGTTAAGTGGCTTGCCCAAAACAATATGTTATTTCGTGGTGGGGCCAGTATCTGAATAGGACCTGTTCTGATTTCAAAGCCTTGATTTTATAACAAGATCATCCTCCTCAGAAGTGGAGGGTGAAGAGGAGCAATGTCTCAACATTTTTTTTTTCTACTTTCCCTAAAGTGAAGAGATACTGAGACAAGGTAACAAGGGATGTTGAGCCAGATGAAAAGGGATGGAGGGTTTTTGTGTTTCTCAGACTCAGAATGCATTCAGGGAAAGGAATGAGCATCCCAAACTTAACTCCAATTTAAGGAGACACCAGAGATTGTCCCTCTGGCAAAAAGCTAAGAGTGACACAAGCTGGAAGACATGTGTGACCTGCAACCGAGGAGCATGATCCTGTCAGACCTGGTGTGTCTAGATAGCAAGAGGCTTCACAGATTTCTGGACACAGAAGCCACTCCCTGTAGTCTTGGGCGTTCAGCCCAGAGGGAGGGTGGGTGGTAAAGACTGTGGCAAACCGGGGAATCTGCTGCTTAAGCTCTATATTGGCCTATATTATGTTGCATAAGAAACTATTACAAAATGTTGGAGTTTAAAACAAGCAACATTTATTTAGCTCATAATTCTGTGGGTCAGTTGAGTGGCGTTCCAGGGCTAGGTTGGTTTGACTGATCTTCCCTGGGATTCCTCAAGCATTTGTCATCACCTGGCAGGTGAGCTGGTAGCTGAATAATGAAGGATAGCTGTGCTCCCATGTCTGGCAGATGGCCAGCTGTTGTCCAGGTTGACAGAGGCGACTATACCTTATATCATTCTTTATTCAGCAGGTTAGTCCAGGCTAACCAGGTTTCTCCTGATGAATGAGCTAGGGTACTAGGAGCAGCAATAAAGTACATGTTTCAATGCACAAGTTTCCCCCCAAAGACACCATCTCACAAAACTATAGTACAATATCACAACCAGGACATCAACACTGACACGATCAAGACAGGACTTCTCATCACCACGAGGGTGACTTATTGCTCTTTTCATAGCCATGTCTCCTGCTCTCCTGCACCTGATTCTTCCTTAACTCTTCACAGTTATTGGTCTGTTTTCCATTTTGATCATCTTGTCATTTCAAGAATGTTATATAAATAAAATCACAGAGTTTATAAGCTTTGCTTGAGATTCATCCAGGTTGTTTCATGTAGCAATAGAAATTTCCTTTTATTGCTGAGTAGGATTTGTGATGCTGCTTCCCTGGTGGCTCAGTGATTAAGAATCTGTCTGCAATGCAGGATATGTGGGTTCTATCCCTGGGTCGGGAAGATCCTCTGGAGGAGGAAATGGCTACCCACTCCAGTTTTCTTGCCTGGGAAATCCCATGGACAGAGGATCCTGGCCTGCTACAGTCCATGGGGTCTCAAAAGAGTCTGACACAACTTAACAACTGAGCGTGCACACAAGCACGCACACAGGATTTATGATACTGCAGTTTAACTCTTTACCCATTGAAAGACCTCTAAGTTGATTCCAGATTTGGGATACTCTGAATAAGGCTGCCATAAACTTTTGTGCATGGGTTTTCATTTCTCTGGATTATATGCTAAAGAGTGTGTTAAATCATATGATATTTTCATGTTTTGTTTTTAAAGACCATTTCAAAATGTTTTCCAGACTGGATGTACCATTTTACATTCCACCATCAGTGTATAAGTAATCCCATTTCCCCACATCCTCATCAGCATTTCATGTTGTCTGAGAGGTCAGTAGTGTTGTGTTATTTTGGTATTAATTTGCATTTTTCTAATAGTCAACAATATTGAATATCTTTTCATGTGCTTATTTTCCATTTGTGTGTTGTCTTGGATGAAATGTCTCTTCATGTCTCTTGTCAATATTCTAATTGGATTTTTTAAAACCTGCTGAATTTTGAGAGTTCTTTATAGTCTATGTACTAGGCATTATCTGTTACATGCTTCGCAAATGTATTCTCCTAGTCTGAAGCTTATTTTTTCACCTTT